TAGAATGTAATATTTAAAGATAGGCACACGTAGCTTACCATAGGTCGTAGCAAAAACAAAGGAAACTTCATTGTAACAACACGTATCGGAGGCATAGATCCACTTCGGATCGCTGCCGGCGGAGTAAGTAACTTAAAATTTAATTATTATAATCACCACGTGTAATTATCCGTATAATGTAATTCAATTCGTATTATTATGGCCGATTTTGTCTGAACTGAATAAGTGAATTTTATTTAACTGCGTCAAATGTTCAGGAATTAAAAAAGTGTGAAGTGGTCAACCGTTCCTCTATTATACATCCAATATTTATTTTCCTGAAAATCATATATTTCACAAAAATAAATAGTTTTCCCGGATATTTTTCCACATTTCACGTTGATACCTGTCAAAAGTTACAGAACGCAAACGATGGAGACAGTAAGAAGGTTTTTTTTCGCTGTTGTGTAATCATTTTAAATCTCGTTTTCTCTAATTTGCTGTTAGCTAAGTATGCTATTTTATTTTATAATTCATGCGAAATAAAACTTCAAAATATATTTCTTTCGAAGAACATAATATAAGCCTTCGAATTATATTTTTCCAATATTTTTCAATAGTTCGGAAGTTTTCCCGAGAAATTTCCACTATTACAAATTTTTCCGAAAATTACCTAACCGTAATTATTATACACAAAAATCTAAAAGACGAAATAATTGGCAATCATACTAGTACTTAAAATTTGAATTATGACTGCGTAACCAACGGAGTATCATCATCTTACATAACCTTTTAAACCCGAGGCATCTGCTGTCATATCTCGAGGGTCTCGTTACACGATTCAGATGACGTCATCGCCGGGATAGCGCCTGTTACGTGAGGTGTGCGATGTCAAGTTTGGAATTTGAGGATGTCTAAGTAGAGCTTATGCACTATACGACAGAATGTTAAAGTTATTTTGTAAGTTAGGTGTTCATCATCATCAATGATGATCATCTCTTGTGATGATTATCTATATTGTTAGTGTATTTTTAACCGACTTCAAAAAAGGAGGAGGTTCTCAATTCGTCTGAATAATTCGTCTGATAACTCCGGTATTTGTGAACCGATTTTCATGATTCTATTGTTGTTGGAAAGTGGGTATTTCCATAGTGGTCCCATTTCATTTTGAAGAAAATTATCCACCGCAAAGGGTGGCTGTTCACGCATGAAGATTCATTTTCATAAATAGCGCCTAACTTTAATTTAGGAGCAATTAGTTTTAGCAATTACTTAGTTGATTTTGCTATTTCTCCAATTCAAGGCGTTTTTCTCTCGATGTACTTTGAGTAGTGTCGTAGTGAGAACCTATTTTTATTATCTCCAGTATCAAGTCCTGTATAGTGGCGAACTAGGGGATATTTCAATGAAACTTAGCAAATAGACGTAATTCCACGTACTTTTGAGGTCAGTTTTTTAGTACTCTGTACTGAGATTATGTTATTATATTCAGAAATTAAAGTCATAAGTGCATGGAGCCACAAAAGGATTCGAACGGTCAACTCCTGGAATTGTC